AAGCATTATATCACTTTGCTCGCCTTTATATGCGTTGTGTAAAAGTAAAATTCTAAGTAGAAACAAGAGGGTGGCGCCTCAACAGCCTCGTTATTGTACTCGTCGAATTGACATAGACTTGCAGCAGCGCGAAATACTCATCTTTTATCTCCAGCAATCTTAACCAATATCTATGCTATCGATCTCGACGACAGAAGAATTGCCTTTAGCAAGATGATACTCGCGACTCTTTTTTTATCTCAAGTCTACGATTTTGACGCGATTCTGAAATCCGCAAAAGAAAACAGCATTATCGAGTCGACTAGGGATTTTTAACCAGGATTTTTAAGCAATCTTTAACATAATTTTAAGTCATGTCTACCGAAGCGATTTTTTTCGTATTAATAATATGCAGATAATTCGAATTGTAAATATTGCATTGAGTTTTATTGCACAAGTTTTATCAGATAAATCGATAAATTCTTTACTAATTCGTATAACATTGCCCATAGCACAAACTTGCAACTATATTACAGCAACACATATATTTAGTTTACACCGTTAAATCAATTAGTACACATATTAAATTAATGTGAATTATATATTTAATACGTTTTTCTTTATATTGATCCATCTCAAAAAAGTTATGTTAAGTTTGTTCTTTTTACATAATATTTTCACAATTTTCCGAGATATAAAAGTTTCTAAGTTCAACCTGTCTGAATTTAATAGCAGTGACTGGTTTGATATGATTCAAAATAAACCAAGTGTTTGAGCTAGGATCTTTTAATACGTGTATCAATTTGATTTGATACTCGCTATCAAGAATATCAGACCAAAATAATCTGCGAACATTCATAGCAAGTATATCAAGCGATTTGATTATGGATATAGTATTTAATGCATTTATCAAGCAATTGTTCAATATAAATGAAGCAATTGTTGCAACATTGCTGCGATATAGTTGCAAAATCTGTATTGTATGGGCGAGAGTGCAGACTCGGCGTTGTTTTGCGTTTCGGGATTTCAGCTACTCCCAAGCACCCAGCAGCCTAGGCATGGAATATGAGAAACCGAATCCTCACAATTTACCGGAAATCCAAGGAAATATCCCGAAATGAACGTCATCTTTCCTCTCGATTCCCAACGATCTCTCGACTAGTAGTAGTCATAGAGAAGGTAACGATGCAGCGATTGTGGCAGCTGTAGCTTTCTGACGATCTTCGGTAGCTTGGTGCCGCAAAGCTTGCGTACTATCAGCCTCGCCTGATGAGTCAATGGCAGCGGAGTCCTGGCCGCCTCCATCACCAGGGCCTTCTGCGCGTCCGTTAGACTGCTGGATCGTCGTATCATGCAGGGATCGAAGCTCTCCGCTGCTTCCAGCAACGCGCGCAGCAGCCGCGGTTTGTCGGCCGTGTTCTGCAGGGAGTTGAGAATACCATGCGGATCGCGAAACTGCGTCTTGATCACCACCCGGGCGCCGTACTTGAGTAGCAACGCCACTATCTCCACCGACGGGTTCTCGTTCGAGGCGACGTATTCGGCCAGCACCGGTCGCAGCGCCGGTCCGTCGTCGCTGCGTATCACCAGGTTGGGATCGGCGCCACGTTCCAGCAACATGCAGAGAATCTCCAGCCGATTCGGGATGTTGTCCGCGCATGCCACGTGCAACGGCGAGCCGATAATCGGCGACGAGGCGTTTACGTCAGCGCCTGAGAAATCGCGATCAAAAGAATATTACTTTCAAAAATAAACTTTTGATTATTTTAAAAAAAAATTTTCCAAGAGGGAAGAAGATAATCATACTTGATTATCTCGATTTATTAAAGGGAAAAATTTAGCTCTAACTTTGAGTTATTATGTTACAAGTTCATTAACCCTTAACCGGAAGCGCCGCGGCACTGCGGAGTGCCGCAAAATTCATTTTTCTGAAAAATTATTGATAATGCAGATCTTTTTTCTATTACCGATCTTTTGTATTCCTCATTTAATATCTCAACCATAAGACAGCGCAACTGCTGCATTTTTCCTGTTAAGTGGTTAGCCTTTCCCACTTTCACTTTAAAATCGATAAGACACGTTTTGCGGCACACACGGACCCGTGCGCGCCTCAGAACGCAAATAAAATCTTGGTTATATAAATAATCATAATAATGCGAGATGTTGAACTATTCCTCATATTAACTTATTTTTAACTTATTTTTACTCGCATTAATGCTTAATATCTCTTTAGATTAGAGTTAGTTGTGTTTTAAAAAGCTCAAACAATACGAATTTTGAAACAATTTTAGAGACATCCTAAATTAAAATCCTATCCTAAGTTTCCTACCATAAATCTCAAAAATATCCTAAATCGAGAGGTATTCTGTAAATACTTGGAGAGATAGAAGAAGATAACATACAAGAAGAAATAATTAATTTTAGTTGATTTTATTCTATTTTTTTCTTATTTTAGTTGATTTTAATAGTTTATTTTATAACATTATCCTATAAAAACATTATTATTATTATTTTTCTATGTTTGATTTTAAATTGATATCTATTTTTAAAACAATTATCTTATTTTTACTTTTCTACTTACATCTAATCAAACTTTTATTTTTATAAGAAAGTAGACACAAAATTTTAATATTATAGTTAAGTTTTAATATTATATTTAATTATAAATATATTTTTCTTGTTTTTATAACGATTATAAAATCCAATTATTTATTCAATTATTGCAATTTCCAAATAATAAATTTGTGATGCGGCACTCAGTGTCGCGCGCGTTTAGTAACGCGTTTAGTAACGTTTAGTAACGTCGGTCGGGAGGCGCACCCGGTTAAAGATAACGGTAGTTGGTGACATAATGACTTTGAATTTATACATTTAAAAAAAATTAAAAATGATTACTAGATGCTAAAATCTAGATCTAAAATCTTATCTTGTCCAGTTTACCACTTATTACATGTTCTTATTTAAACAATTATTTTTATTCGGATAATTTTAATAAAATTAAATTAAGATTAAATTATCTCATTGCTATTGAAACATTAATATAAATATTGTGCTGGGTCAAATTAATTTGATAAGACTAGTTCAAGTAACTGTGATTAACTTAATCGACGATTATTTCTTAACCGGCAAAGTTGCTTGAAGTACACAGAATTTAATTCTGTTAATTGTAATCTAATCTTTTCTCCTATATGTTATGTAACAAGAAATTAATAATTTTATTTAAAAATTATTTGATAATTTGGATGTTTAATGGATCAAAGGTTGATCAAAGTCGACTTAAAGGCGACAGCCTGCGGGCTGTTCGTTTAATTAATCAACATCAGTTTGATTAATTAAGTCAGAGAATGATTCTTGGCCAGTGACGGTCGTGAGACCTATCTATCGATCGCGAGCGGTGTCTCGCGAAAAGGAAGAGAGCATGACGCGGATTGACGTGCGACGATCGATTTAATTGCCGCGTGTATCGGGCGCACAACGGCCTTCGGATGCCGCGCGATTTCGGCCGTATGCCAGCGGTGTTATCGGCGCGAGATACCGCAACTCACCCGCTTCGAGCAGCATCTCGACGATCGACGGGTCGCCCTTGAGTATGGCCAGATCCAGGGCCGTTGGTTTCTGATAGTCCGGCCCGAGGTCCAGCCGGGCGCCCTGCTTCAGCAGCAGATTGATCACCGCCGGGTCGCCGCCGAGGATCGCGTAATGCAACACCGTCCGGTAATCATGCCTGGCGTCCGCCGTCGCGTTCACGTCCGCGCCGTAACTCAGCAGCAGAAGCACCGATGCTATGCCCTGCGACATTCACATCGAGGATCATCAGTTTTTTCCGCAATTCTTCGAGAGATGTAACGAAGATGTAATATGGAAAGGACGATTTTAAAATAAAAATTTAGCTAAATATTAATCTGAAAATAATTTTATATGGGACCTATCAAAATAATTATGTGGAATGCTTAAGCACGATTATTACGACTAGTGTAAAAGCTTTTTTTCTCTAGGAATAATTTGAATATTTTTTTATCTACTTATTTTTAAATATCTCTAATAAAATTGTTTCTTTCTGTGTAATCACGTACCGCGTGTAGTCACGTGAGTTTTAGGAAATTCGAGACTAACGTAACTATTCTAAGTAAAGAGAACATCTTTAAAAGAAACTTGAAAAAAAAAATGGAACGTTATTAGATGGAGATTTCTTCCTGTCTCTTTAAAATGAACTTTTAATTAGTTCAACGAGAAGATAGGGGTTTCGATAATTTTGTACTTCGCTGATTTTGCTCACCTGCGGCAGTCTAGCGGCCTTCATGAGTGGCGTTAACCCGGCACGATCCCGCGTGTTTGGATGAGCGCCGAAAGCTAATAGCAGCTCCATACACTCCAGATCCAAGGGCGACACCAGATTAATCTCAGAGCCGAAGAAGTATCTTTTGTTCGGATTAGCCCCGGCTTCGAGCAGGATCCTCGCAACCTCGACATGGCGGTTCCGCAGGGCCAGGCGCAGCGGCTCGTCACACAACATAGTCCTGAATCGAAAATACAACAAAATACTAACAACGATGTAGCATGTAGCACGATTAATTAAAATTACAACACCTTGTTGGCCTAGCAAGCTTTCTCTTACTGTCTACACAAATTTTCATTATTATAATCTTTAACGCGTAGAGAAATCTTATAATAAGATTTTTTTTTTTAATAACGGTATTGTATTTTTTATTAGTAATAATAATAATAATAATAATGCAGTTGCATTTTTTAATAACAGATATAATTATTTTTTTATTGTTATTTTGTATACATATAGAATTTTATATTCCATACTTATGTGGGGATGATATATTTATATGGGAATGGGCACAAGTGTATACTAAAAATATCTTGTGAGTTTGATAGAAAAAAAAAAAATAAATAAATAAATAAAGAAAATTATAATAAATAATGCTAATGAACTACTTTCCAAAAGTGACTCTTTTAATGACTAAAGGTCAAAATTATCAATATCGTTAAACAGCACACTTTTTATTTTATACTGTTATCCAGCTATTTACGCCGTACAAAAATGTTCTGTTATAGATGGCGTTTTTATTTTTTAAAAAAATATCGATAACCATGTTCGATAGATTGATTATATAGGATGATTATATATCGGTGCAGGCAGTTAGTGCATGCCGTACCTGGGGAAGAGCTCCCCCGTGTCCTGCCGGTGGTCCACCTTGGCGCCATACTTAAGCAGCAGCTTCACCAAATCCAGGTAGCCGTGCTCGGCGGCGAGATGCAGGGCCGAGTAGCCGCATTCGTCGGTGGCGTCGATGTCGGCACCACGCACCAGCAACAGCTGGGCGGCCTCGGTGTAACGCTGCCAGACGGCATAGTGCAGGGGCCTGAGGCCCTGGGTGACCGGCTCGTTCGGCTTGGCACCGCAAGCGAGGAGGATGCGGATCTCGTCGAGCGGTTGCAGCCGTATTATCGAGTCGGCCAGCTCCCGTTGCAACGGGTTGGCGATGCACTCGGTCGGCATCTACATGGCGCAACACGAAGAGGTACAGAGATAGAGAGAGGCGAGAGGTGAGAGAAAGAGAGAGAGGAGGGGGGGGGGAGAGAAGGGAGTATTGCGTAACGCGTACACCACCTCGCGCATTGGCAGAAATCACCGAGGATTTATTAGCCGAGACAATTTATCGAGACGGTATCGATTTATCGATAATGGCATTGTTAACGACGAGAGATCGCACGTCGAATTTGTTGTAAAAACAAAGATTGGAGTGGTTTTGGAAAGGCTTTCTGGGAAAGCCTAATAATATTTTCGGAGGTAATTTTTACGGGAAGTTTTTATAGAAATGTCTTTAAAAACATTTTTCCGAGAAATCATTAGTTCCAGAACTAATAAAGAATTAGTTTTCTTGATAAATATATAATTGTTTTTACGCTCTTTTATTATATAACCTCGTTGATAAGTATGGCACTTGTTACTTTTTCCTGTGGAGAGAAAGACTTTTTCAATTAGGTGTCTAAAAAAAAAAACAAGATTAAATAACATGATGAAGTTTCAAAGTTTGCAGTTCGTTGCAAGATAAAGTGATAATTTCCGAATTAAAGCTTCGCCTTTCGAAGCCTTCCGATCTTGAATTTGATTGACGAGTAAAAATTTTTCATCGCGAACACAAGAGGATACGACATACACATCATGCATTCAGTAAATGCGTGCAGTATTTATCTAACGTTGATACGCACGTTAATATTGTGTCTGATTTGCCTTATACGACGAGCACGGAAATCCGATAAATCTGCAAATACAAGAAGATGGAGAGATTAATAAGTTGTTGACGAACTGCATTGTAACTCATAACGTTTACAACATTAAAAAAATGCTCGAATCTTATGCAACCCTTATTTTAATTAATAATTTAATTAACAAGAGAAATATAACGAATCGTGAATCTCGATCGATTAATTATTAATGACGTAAATATTAAGTTTTTCAGCGAAACACATCTCTCCGCGTACGAATATATTTCTCAGTTTTTTTCTATTATATCTCTGACACTGTAAGTTTTTCCATCGCAGTAGAATTTATACGACAACACGAGTAATGCAGATTGGAAAACAAAAATGTGTGACGAGTGTAAATTTTATAAAACGCGACAAATTATGACACCAAATATATATTAAATTATGTCAAATTTCATATTATGAGATAAGAATATTCAGAGATACGATGGAAAAGACCTCGATTCCAGATCCCGGACATGGTTGCGATAACGGCAATTGCCGTGAAACGCAGCCACAGCAAAGATTTTCCTCCGACGGTGATCCCGCAACGATCCGCCGGGAGGGGCCGTTTCGTTTCGATTTGGCTGACGATAGGTGAATAATGCAATCGCCGTTCTCGCGCCGGGAAACTTCGCTGACGCGCGTCACGAGTACCAGAAACTCTGCCAAGAAGACGGCGCAATTTTTGGCGATGATGCCGGAAGTCCCGTGGCGTCGTCGATCGAAAATCACGCAGTCTGCGTCTCCGCGAGGGCAACGCGGGATATCTGGCGCGCGATGCTTCCCCGGGTCATTTGTCCCTTTCTTATTGCGAACAATCGCGAAATTTAGTGTAACAATGACCTGGGCGATTTTTCAAGATTCGACAGGGGTAATCTAAATTTACAATTCCAGAAGTTACCTTCCCGAGTTTTCGGAAAAGCGCAAATTCGCGTTTGACAATTTTACAGCTGATTTTCTTGACTCTTCTCAGTAAAATCGCTTATAGTTAAATTTATAGTTAAGAAAATTCTCTCTCTCTCTCT